TTCCGGAGTGTGAGCCATCACGCCCTCCCACCCCCTTACCCTCCCACCCCCACTAACCATTTTGTTTCTTTCTGCCCCCTTCCCAGAGAAAATGAGCAGAATGGGACAAACAAGCGAGCCTGCAAGATTCTGGAATTCAAATGAGTTTGAACTTGGGTGGGTTTCTTCATCTGTGACAAGGAAATAAATACTATACTTACTCTTGATTTTTTATGTTTAAAATGTCTTGTATCTACATTCAAGTCCTGTGCCATGAGAGATATACAGGATATAAATTAATTACCAAAATGGTGTTTCATTCTGAAAGTCTCTTAGGGAACAGACCAACTGCAGAAAATCTATTCACAGAGAATATATAATTTCCTTGCCATTCAAGGTTATATTTAAGCTTTTGGGTACCTACTTCCTTTCTTTGATTCACAAGGGAAAAAAAAATACAGTTTATTATGAATCCATTTCTGTCATCTCTTCTCTTTTGCCCAAATTAAGATTATAAAGGGCTAAAGAAGAAACCGGTGAAAAACTAATGAGATGGCAAAATCCGGGCTCCTTCCCCTCTTGAGGTAGGTCTAATAAGGAAGGAAGGGTCCCTCCATTCCTGGTGTCATTGGGTCTTTGTAGGACCTGTCTCTGGTGTCTATTCCCAGCATCTGATTGTTGGCTCTGTATTGGTCATTGTCTCCATTTTCCTCCTTTGACCAGATGAGTGTAACATGCGTGTATCCATGCATGCATGCATTCATGCACACAGGGCTTTAAACCGTTTCCACTCTTTGGACTGTCCCACCTAAGTCAGAACACCCTGGGTTCCGCCCTTTTCAAGGGGCTGAGATGAAGCGTGAGACACACCTCTGCCGGCTTTATTGAGGTTATAGGTACTGAGCTGACATGAGATACTGCCACCCGAGTGAAGTATAATGAACAATCCCTTCAACTGTTTTTGGAAATGTTATTTTGGTTCCATTTTATAGATGGGTAAGTTAGGGCAACCAGGAGGCTAAGTGACTTCGCCAAGGACACACAGCCAGTAGATAAGGAGGTCAAACCTTGAACACAGCCCTGAAACTCAAGACTCTTCTCTTACCCTCCATGATGCTGCCCTCAGAAATAGATGACAGGGATATACTGACTACTGAGGCCTTCTCTTGCTTTCTCTTGTTTCTCTGAGACATATATAGCCTCCATTGGCCTCAAACTCACCATCCTCCTGCTTCAGACTCCCCAGTGCTGGGACTATGGGTGTCTGCCAATATGCTTGGTGCTCTTCTTGCTTTTGAACCAGGTAATGTGAAAATATTCTTAGGCCATCTTTGTGACCATGAGTAAATTCTTTCCACATTGAGGGCAGATAGTCTGTTTATTGACAGACTCAGTTATGAGAGTCCATTAACTTTTAAGCCCCAAGAACAGAGAGTTAAAAAAAAAAAAAAAAGAAGAAGAAGAAGAAGAAGAAGAGCACTTTGGAGGCAGAGGCAGCAGGATCTCTGTGAGTTCCAGGCCAGCCTGATATACAGAGCAAGTTCCGGGCCAGGCTCCAAAGCAATACAGAGAAACCCTATCTCAAAAAGCAAAAAAAGATAAATGGAAAGCCTAATTCTGTCTTCACAGAAAAAAAAAAAAAAAAAAGACAAGACAGAGGGCAGCTTCCCCACACAGGGGCCAGCCAGATTCTCTTGTAGGTTGTTTTGCAAACAACAGATCTTGGTGCAGTTCTGAACAAACAAGAATATAAAACTGTCTACTCCCAGTGTTGGGGGAAAAAAAACTATATATATCCCCAAGTTCTCTATCTGGAGTTATCTGTTGTTTCTCAAGTCTATCTTGTGACCCTCACCATCGTGGAGCTACACGTTGACCCCTCACATCTAACTGGGAGACAAGGATCAAGAAGCTGCCAAGGGGAAGGACCAATGGGCATCAGCTGGAGGCTCAGGACCCATCCTATTTTAATGCCTACTTTCCCGAAGGCAGCTATTTGCATATTATTTATTTTTAATCTTATAGCTGACAGATTGATTCATAATTAAAGCTGTGTCATATGCTTGCCCACCAACTCCCCTCTAAAACAGACTCGGGGAGGGGTTTAGGTGCCAGATTGAATCTCATCCTTTTTTTAAAATCCCTTCCAAACACAGAAATGGTCTGAGTCTGAAAGTCTCCTGCCCCCGAGGATTGTGAGATCGCTAACTGGGTGCTCCTCATGACTGAATTAGTGTGGAGCTCTTACCAGTGACAGAAGGGACACTTCCTAGCAGAGGCCATCTCGGATAGCACCCAAAAGAAAGGAACACCCAGGACAAACTCCTGCAGCATCTTTAAAGTAGCCTTGAACTTGACTGTGTCATTGAGACCCGCTACTGTGGCTAAATGCCTTAAAACATAGAAAGGCCTTTTAACATAGAAAGGTCATTTTTCCAAACCAAAGATTATGCTGGGAGCCCGAGGTAACTGGAGAAGCCAACATCACTTAGTCCTTTTCAAGGGCCAGGCCCATGCATGCCGGATGTGCACCTCATCTCATTAAGTACTGCATGAGTCCTTGGAGGTGGTGTCATCTCCAATGACCACGGGCCCTGTTGCTGGGGTCTTACTGGTTCTGAAACTCAAATACTTGTCATAACTGGATAGCTTCCCATCTTTCCTCCTCCAGCACCCAAGCCACAGTCACTAACTGGGAACTGGGAACATCAGTGTTGTGCTGGAAGTGAGGCTATGCAGGCCAGCCCCATTTACAACAAAGCAATGACTGCTTGGGAGGATGGTATCAGACAGGTTGCTAGAGGCCACTTTACAACATGAGCCCTGTCTGCCTGACTCCAGGGCCCCTGGCTTGGACCACTGTGTCTCCCAAGTGTTCTAGCTCACAAGTGTAGTGGTGGACACTCTGTTAGCTGCCTGCACCCCAATTCAGAAAGGGCCCCAGAGGCCTTGCCACCAAATACCAGTGGTAAAGGAAACAAATATGAGAAGTCACTGTCTCGAAGAAATCAAATTTAGTAAGTATAACATTACATAAGCCAGAAATCAAATTAATTCCACATACTGGTAGGTTCCCTTATGGCCAAACTTGGAATTTAAAAAATGGTGGCCGGGCTCCACAGAGTAACAGGTAAACCTTTAAGGGTGGTAGGTACATTTCTTATCCCCACCCTATTGGTCTCACATGCGTAAACATACTTTGGAACCCCTGAAGTCTATTTTATACTGCTCACATCCCAGTCATACACAAAAACGGCTTGTTTTTAGCAACTTGTGCTAGAAAACTAAAAGGAAGTAAAAAGAGGCCTTTAGGCAAATGGAACAGGTTAGCCAGTTGATACATTTTGAAGAATCATCCAAGTTTAAGGAAAAATTAGTCATATAAAGGACTTTTACTACTGATTAGGTAATTGATCATTATCAATTTGTAAAAACATATGGCCATTCTAGAAAGGAAAGGGGTATTTAGTGTGTCTTATAATTTATTTTTTTGATGGGAGATGTCCTTCTGTATGCTGTGAATATATGTTTCTCTTATTAGTTGATGAATAAATGCTGATTGGCCAGTAGCAAAGCAGTAAGTATCGGTGGGGCTACCAGACTAGGAGAATTCTGGGAAGAGGAAGGCAGAGTGAGTCGCCAGAGAGACGCCATGTAGTTGCTGAAGAAGCAAGAGACCTGGGCTTCACCAGTAAGCACGATCACGTGGAGATACACAGATTGATAGAAATGAGCTAATAATTAAGAGAGAGCTAGCCAATAAGAAGCCTGAGCCACAGGCCAAACCATTTATATACAATTAATGTAAGTCTCTGTGTGTTTACTTAGCACTAAATAGCTGTGGTACCAGGCAGTACAGAAACTTCCTTTGTAATTTCTTTTTTTTTTTTTAACTTTTCATTTAATCTTGCCAATTTAGAGTATCTTGACTAAAAGAGAGGTGGTTATATGTTTATCTATTAAATTTATCAGCCTTTCTCTTCATAGGCTCCTGGTTCTAAAAGATGTTTATAAACATTGGAAAGAATCTCAGGGACAGAATGGCAGCCTCTGCCTGAAATTGAAGCACTTTGAAGGCTGGGGCAGGAAGATAGAAAGTTTAAGGCCAGCCTGGGCTGTGTGATGAGATCTTGTTTCAAAATAGTCATATAAACTAGGCTGGAGGAGAGGGATAGCTCACAACCAAAAAAATAGTTGTATAAGAGAGAAAAAGGGGAAGTCATGTAGTGAGATATCCACCCGACCCTCGCCTGTCAATTGCCCCTCCTCCCCATTCCTCGAGGAACTGGTGGATTCTGGACTTGTCCATCTAGCATTTTTAGTTTCTTATTTTCGCACCAGTAATGTGCTTATGCCACATACATGCTTATGAGTGTATGGTCACAGAGTGATACAACACAGATCCTTTATGACTCTGTAGTGAGATATCCACCCAACCGGCACCTGTAGCGCTGACCACGCCCATTTTGGGTTGTAGAGAGCAACCTGTGCCCCGACCCCAGACCGAAAACCACTCTTTGTCATGTCCGCACCTGGTCGTGGTCACATTACTGGTGCAAAAATAAGAAACTAAAAATGCTAGATGGACAAGTCCAGAATCTACCAGTTCCTCGAGGAATGGAGAGGAGGGGCAATTGACAGGCACGTGGAGGCACATGTATTCCCCACCACTTCTGGACATACAGACAAACACAAGTGCATCCCATGGCCTAGAAATCCTATGGCTGGTCTCATACTCCCCAGAGGACAGAGCTTACAGCCACCAAAGGACCTGCACAGGGACCCTTTAGGAACAGGGAAGAGATAGTTCCTCATGGGGATGATCCAGATGCCCATCAGCAGGAAAATGGACATAACTGAGGTTCTAGTCACAAACTGAAAATACCAAGGGAAACAAAACAGAGCAAGATGTTGCCAGGCCCACAGCATGAAAGACCTCCACACACAATTTAAAGCGAAAGGGGGGAATCTCAGCCCCCAAAGAGCACATTCTCTACAGTTCCACTTACATCAAGTTCAAGGTTAGACAAAACTCAGTTCTGGCACCAGAATGGCAGAAACAGTGGGGGCAACGGGTTCTTAGAGATGGACAGTGGGGGCCGTCTATAGGCTGAGACATCCTGCAGCTGCATCTACATGTGGTTACTCGGGCATCTGAGATGCAAAACTCTGACAGAGAGCACCCAACACTGGGTGCCCCAGTTAGAGCTGGTAACGAGGTCCTTGTGAAGATCAAAGATAGATGCACATGTGTGAGAGGGGGTGTTTATGGAAACTCACAGGTGTATGTAGTACAAGCCCAGACAGCAACATTGAGGACTGAGAAAGTAAAAAATCCACAAAAAGACCAAAGACACGGAAGCACAAACAAGGACAGCATCCCCATCTCCTAAAGGGGCCTATTTCTGTCCTTCATTTTGATCAAAAATAGACTTCTCTTCTTCACTGACTTGACTAGATTATGTAACCCATGAGCGATGCTCCTCTGCTAATAGAACACTCCCAGAAGTGACATCACCCACAAGGGTCCTAGATTGTGAATTTGCCTATTAAAAAGGCAGATTTTTCTCTGTTAGGAAGATAAACTTTCTAGGTCCACAGGAGAACTAACTGGCCCTTCTTCTTGGCAGAGGCCACAGGCTGGAGAAGCCACCTGGGAAACCAGTCCCTGGCATTTGGATTGTTGCTTGCCAGGGTGTGCCATGGACCCTTCCACACTTGGGGAAGGGGATGAGCTACCTTGAGAGCTTTGCTGGTACTACTGAATCTATTTACAGCTTCATAGTAAGGGTGAAAATAAATGTTTTTGGCTTTCTGTTTTGAGCTATGTTCTTGTCTGTACCCCTGCCTCACCCTGATCTCACCAGCCTTAGATACCTGTACAGGTAATGTGTCCCACACCAGCTACAGTGACAATTATTTGACTATTTTCACCATCACAACTACCTTCCTTTCCCAAACCTAAAGAATGGTTCTTAACATCTTAAAACCAGTAGCCCCCTGAAAAATTAAAACAAAACAAAGCATCATGGACTTTAAGCTACAAGACTGTATGGAAAAATCAGTCACCAACACAATGACACCACTGAGGGATTTCCCCTTCATCTTCAGCTTATGTGTACTCACGGTGCAGCTGTTGCGAAGAGCATCAAACTTGCGCTGGATTTCATCTCTATGGGCCTGAAAGGTAAGGGGGTGCATTATAAGTTTTTCATAGGGTAGAATGCAAGTCTACATGCTACATGCAATTTGCTTGAAAAGCCAGGTGCACTGTTGCAGCAGCCGCTTTGCAGAGAACTAATTGATCAGCTCATCTCCAGCTGGCATCAGCGAGAAGTAACAGGGACATACGGTTCTGTGTTAAGTGAGCACAGCTACTCAGACCGCATCACAAACTGCAGACAGATGTTTTCATATTCATACTGACACCTGGGGAGATCTGTGGGAAGCGGGTAATAAAGGATGATGCTTCTACTGCTCTTCATCAGTCCTAAACCAAACCCCAGTGCTGAAAATATGAGTAACCCGCCTAATAGATGGACAGACAGACCGATAGACAGACAGACACAGGCGTGCATACACACACACACACACACACACACACACACACACACGAGAGACACTGTCAGTTAAAAAGCAAAGAGTTTTTAAAAATTAAAGCTGCTGAGATTCATAAAATTTTACACTGACCTGGAAGTAAAGATTCACACAACCTCACACTGACCTGAAGTAAAGGTTCATACAACCTTATACTGACCTGAAGGGGAACCTGTAGCCATGCCTGCTTAGGGGCTGGCTAAAGGTGTGCCTGACCAAACCCTAAGCAGGCATGGCTACAGGTTCCCCTACACTGACCTGGAGGTAAAGATTCATACAACCTCATACTGACCTGGAAGTAAACACCCCAGCTTTCTCTGAGGCACGGCTACCCTAAAACAGCAGTATTTCTGCTAGAGTTTGGATCTTAAGTGCCCTCCAGAGGTCCTTGTGTTAAAGGCTTGTAGTCAGCCTGTGGCACTAATGGAAGGTAGTAAAGCCATCAAGGCATATGGGCTAGCTAGAAGTTAGGCCATGGGCAGTTCTCAAAAAAGATATTGGAACCCTGAACTTAACACATATTCATTCACATTCTCTCTCTCTCTCTCTCTCTCTCTCTCTCTCTCTCTCTCTCTCTCTCTCTTCTTTTTTCTCTCTCTCTCTCTCCTTCCCTGCTGTCAGAAATAAACAGGTCCCCTCCACCACATACCCATATTAATAACACTAAACTGTAACACAGCCAAGTCATCTCAGATAACATGAATGCCAGTAACTTCTTCCTCAGGTCGAATAACAGGTGTTTTGTCATAGTAACAGAAAGCTGACTGACACAATTCTTATCAGCACTAAGATAGGATCCATGCACTTATAACCTATGCCTTCATTCTGGTGAAGGAAGACAGCGGCAAAGACCCAGGCAAGAAAGTGGCAAAGACCCCAGGCAAGAAAGGACTTGACACAGGTGATGGGCTTAAAAGCGCTGAGCTGGCAGAATATGCATTAACTGGAGTCTCTGAAGGAGTCTGGGGGTGAGCTGGAGAAAATGCTTCAGGAAGTGCTGGCCACAAATTCCAAAGCTGCTAAAAGCTTTGAACCCACAGATATAAAAACTTCAACAAACTCTAAGCCTAAGTAACATGAAGACAATTATTCATAAGCATATCACAATCAAATTGCTTAAAACCAGCAACAAGAAACTCATCAAACCAGGCAGAGAAAGACCATTATACACAGGGCAACAAAGGTGAGTGCTGGGGTGCTGTCTTCCAGGTTGGATGTGATGGTTGCCACCTTGGACCAGAGCCAACTTTCATCACCAGGGCTGGACCTATCAGCATTCCCCTTCACTGGCAAAGGGAAGGCTTTCCTGAGAACACACAGCATTAAATGATGGCCAAAAGAAGGAAACTCCATGATATAGCTGCCCATAAGCTGCTCATGTTCCTATGAGTAACCCCAATGAATTCACTGGTTCACCAAGCCAGATACAGGTGGAATGGCTTCTCTGGTTTGCAGTAGCTCTACTAGACTCCCCAGGAAGAGACACTGTTTTGGGAAGGGTTTCTATTGCTATGATAAAACATCATGACCAAAAGTAACTTGGGGAGGAAAGGGCTTGTTTGGCTTACACATTCAGATCACAGCCCTTTACTAAGGCAAGAACTCAAGCAGAATAGGAAACTGGAGCAATCTTGCTCCCCATGGCTCACTCAGCCTGCTTTCTTGCACAGCCAGGGACCACCTGCCAAGGGGATGACACCACCCACAGTGGGCTGGGCCCTCCCACATCCATCAGTAATCCCACAGGTCAAAACATTTTCTCCTTTTAAGTTCCCTCTTCCCAGATGACCCCAGCTAGTGTCAAGTTGACAAAAACGAACACCCTAAGCAGCACAGACACACATTAACAAGGTCAGACCTTCAGTGCAGTGTAAGGGCTGAGCCTAAGGACAATCTAGCAGCATTTTAAACACCACAACAGAAAACAACAAGAAAAACTGTCTGCCTAGAGCTCTATGACCAGCAGAAGTATTTCTCCCAAGTGAAGATAAAAGCAAGGCTGCCACTGACATTGGGTGAAAGGATGTCTCCCCAGCAGACTCATACTACACAGAAATTCTTCAGGTAGGAAGACAACTGGAAACTTGTGTCTAGATGTTGTCTATGTAGACCCACTACTGAGAGTTGCTGAGGACCTAGTGAGAGGTCCCTAAAGTCAAGACCTTGAAGGTGATTGTGGATCCAGCCCCTTTCTCTCCCCCTCTACCTTTGGTTTCTGGTCACAAGGTGAGCAATATGTGTCCACTGTGCCATCCCAATACGTGCTGCTTTGCCATAGAGCCAAACACAAGAAGCCAATCAGTCATGGACAAGAGCCATCAAAATTGTGACCCCAAACCAATCACTTTTTTTTATATGTTAATTGTCTCAGGTATTTCATTACCATGATGGGATGCTGATTAAATATAGCCAGCAACAACAAAAGACTAACTTGATGGGCTGAGAATAATGTTTACCCAGCTTCCGAACGAAGTCATCTGTACTGCTGTTGAAATCTCACCTAAACCCATGACCAAGCACAGTCTGCTCCCATAAGTCCCCTCCAATGCATGCCATGATCATCATGAACAAAAATGAAGGATTTATTGAGGAAGAACAGGTTCTTACATTAATCACCTCTACATCTAGGACCAGCAAGATTTGTGGGTTTTGTTTTGTTTTGTTTTTTTTTTAATTTATTTTGTTGTTGTTTTTTAATGGGAGAGATAATAGAGATTTTTGGTCTGCAAGCCAATTTGATCTACTTAAATAATCCCTCACCAGGCAAAAGTAAATATAGAAAAGATGAAAATGAAGCTGGGGAGATGCCTTGAGTTTGTTTTCCAGCACTCACCTAAAAAGCTGAGCACATAGGAACACAGAGCTGGGAGGCAGGGGGCGAGAAGACAGGAGGATCCCAGGGACTCATGGGCCAGCCAGTCTCACCAATTGGCAAGCTGCAGGTTTAGTGAAACACATTTCAAAAACAAACTCAAGTAGAGAGCAATAGAACATTCTTGATTCAGACCTTTGGCCTCCACATCACATGACATACACATCCATACATATGCCGTCACCCCCCACCCCCTCCACTTGGTGTAAACTCTCAATAAGTAAGAAACAGTGTGTAATCAGTTCTTTCACATTCAAGGCTCACTGGGCCACAAAGGGTGCCAAAGGCCTGTTCCACTTTTTTGTTACACTTTATTAATAGCAAAGATTCCAATAAGTCTACACTATTAAAAAGTCATTCAACTGGCCTGTTGGAATCTGAAATTGGAGCCATGGATGATTCATTCCAATTAAAATTCACCATTATGAAGCCTTTGGCTCATTTGGACACATCAGACACACTAATACTCGTGGAGGCAAAATGTAATGAGCCACCATCTTTACGGTTCTGGTCTATCTATCATTGATGGGGAGGTATGACTACAGAATGTAAAACTGGTTCTGCTGTGGGTGTCAGCATCACCCTCAGCTTTGATGATCACCCCACTGATTTCAGAAAGGAAACGGTGAGAGGGGCTGCAGACATGACTCAGAGTTAGGAGAGGGGCTTCAGACCATGACTTGGCAGCTAGGAGAGGGGCTGGGGACATGACTCAGCAGTTAGGAGAGTTCATTCTTGTAGAGGACCTGGATTTAGTTCCCAGCACCAACATGGCAGCTCACAACCATCTATAACTCTAGTTCCAGGTGATCTGGTACCTATTTATGGCTTCTTCAGGCACTGCGTGTACATGGTGCAGACAGACATGCAGACAAAGCATCCATATACATAACATAAAAACTAATAAATCTAGCTGGGTGGTGGTGGCAAACGCCTTTAATTCCAGCACTCAGGAGGCAGAAGAAGGAAGTATATCTCTTGAGTTTGAGGTAAGGCTGGTCTACAGAGCTAGTTCTAGGACAGCCAAGGCTACAAGAGAAACCCTGTCTTGAAAATCCAATAATAATAATAAATCTTTTAAAAAACTGAAAAGAAAATGGTACAAGGTATTGATGTTTCCTTTAAACTAGGAGAAGGGACCCATACAACATGCATTCAAGGATGGTGATATACCTGAGACAAGCTTTGGATTAGGCCACGGGATGTGAATTAAGTATTGGGTGGTACAGGGAATATTTATGCTGTAAAATTATCAGGGATCTCAGAAAGTAAAGCTGTTAACATAATGAGCATAGTACGCCAACCAGACAACATTATTATGAAAACAGCCTAACCTCAGTAACTCACAGAGATCCCCAGGCCCACTTGGGAACCTCAGGCTGGTCCAGGGGTCAGTGACACTCTCAAGTTGTCTCAGAGTCTTTATACATTCAATAATTGGAAGGAAAAGGGGAACCTGAACTACAGTGACAAGAGGAAAGGCTGCAGGGTTGGCACAGGAAGGTAGTGCTCAGCGTCTGGCCACCTTCTGGGATCCACAGCCCGCAGGCCTCCATCCTTTCTGGTTTTGTGCCCTAAGTTCACATCTTGACTATTATACCAACAGCTTACTAATTGCATACAAAGCTTGATATTTTCGTGAAGGAATGAGAGCCTGCACTGATTAATGACTTTAACAAATCAAAGGCGACGGCTTTGGGTTCTGTAATCGCACTGTTCAGTGAGTGGGAGCTTTTCATCAGAGCCCCAAGCTTTCCGCTGCTTATTATTTGGCTAAGTCTCTTGACCAAATCAGTAAAGGAACATGGGAGTCAGGACCACAGACCCACCCACTCACTAGGCCTTGCTGGTACATACAAAGTGCAAGCCACTTCTCTCCCAGGCTATTCAGAGTAGCTCTGATGTGCAAAACACAGCTGTGAACCACAAAGTCTGAGGATACCAGTTTTCTATCTCACGGCAGGAAGGGGCAGAGCTGTCTTCTGGACTGAGAGAGGGCGGAAACTGTCTTCTGTTATCAGGAGCAGTCTCTAAAGTGCAGCAGTCTCTAAATCGAGGAGGTTACAGTTCAGCTCTGCTGCAGGTATCTACCTTGACCCAACCTCAGGTCTTAGTGGCTAATTCCAATGTAAAACCAATCAACAGGATGGATAACGTGAGAAGAGAAGAACCAAAGACAGCACATAAAGGCCTCCCAGCTGCTCCCGCCAAGCTCCTTCAATGGAGAACTCTAATTTGGCCCAGGGGTGGAGGCCAGGCCAGGTGACTGCTCCCTTCCCAGCCTGGGAGATGACTCCCTCTTTGAAATAGGAAGTAACAGCCCAATTGACCGTTCCCTTTTACTGATTAAAATTAAAAAAAATCATGCAGTGAGGCTCAGAAACCTCCTATGAGATCATTTTAGATCTGGCTGATTTAATGTGATTGATGCTCAAATTGGATCTGAATGTGGGCCTCAAACAATGAGAAAGCAATAAAGTATTGCATTTGTGACCATTTTTCCTTTTCTTAGAAAATACACTCTTCAGAACCAAGCCAGTCGAGTCCTTTACTTGGCAGCCACATGAGACACAATCTAGAAGGAGCCAAAAAGGCAAAGACTCAAGGCCTCAGACTAGAATGGAAGCCTATGGAGATGAGGTGGAGGGCTTCCCCAGGACAGGATCGCAAGCATGTGGAGGGGTGATCCCCGGGACAGGTTTGCAAACAGCTGTCGGACCCATCGAATTCCTATTATTTTCTTTTTTCCTAGGGCCAAGGTCTTCTGTGTGCCCTTAGCCTCTCGTGGGCTGGTGTGCCATTACAACCAGCTTCTTCTACCATCAGTTTGAGCAAGCCCTATATTCCATGTACCTTCATGTGCAAGGGAGAGTCCAAAGAGTTTTTAGAACAAGGGATGGCTTTTGTTTTCTGGGACTTTTTTGTTTTGTTTTGTTTTTGTAAAGAGTCTTTGAGGCAGTGATCTCATCCGACTAAATTAAGTCGTGACTAGCTGCTGTGCGAGGCTTCAAGCAGCCAGTAGACACAGCACATTCCAAGCAGAGCAGAAAGGCAGGATTTAAGGGACTCATTTCCCACAGATAAACGGCAGTGACGCACGCTCTATTTTATGTCCTCCTCCGTCCAAACAGGCATGGGAAGATACATGACCACTGCCTGCCCTCCCGATTCCCACAGAGCAGCAAGATACATGTGTCATCCTTGGGCACTGCAGAGAAAAATGAATTGAGGAATCACAGGCTAATATCCCGGGGAGAAAAGGCTAAAGACACAACGTTAGGCACACAGCAAGTGCTCTTCATTTGATGGATTAAGTCACTGATGTCACATGCTTTAGTTTCCAACCTTGGATGTTCTCAGAGTACATTCAAGAACACAGATGACAGAATGCATTAAATAACAGTGGTTCTCCCAATTGCAGCTAAGAAAAGCTGTCTGTCTGTCTTCCTCTCCACTCACCCAACTAGAGTAAAAATTTACATCTTCTTGGCATACACTCCTTAAAGATCACTTCCTTCTTCCCTCTCCTTCCTTCCTCCACATGGTCTCCTATGCACCTACTCTGTGTTTGCCTTTTCATTCTTGCATTCATTCAGCATCCCTGCTTTTTATCTTACCAAACTGCTTTCAATCCACTCTCAAAGCAGAATATAAACAAAGAGATGGCATGACTGTTTGTTGTTGTTGTTGTTGTTTTTCAGACTACATATATGGGGTAAGTGGCATCATAATGAGAGTTCTCATAGGGATGATAGAACTTTGGGGCTCGATCAATATCCAGACTTGGCAGAAGTCCCAGAAAGCCAAGGCCACATAAGCACCTTCCTTACTTGAGTTGTTCTGTGTCCTGGCATCATGTAAACTACTATGGCAGCCACTGGTCTCCAGAGGACCCTGACCCTGGAAGGTCACATTCTCAATCTTGTTTAAATAGTGGTAATCCTATATCCAACAGCAGAAGGCAACTTGTAAAAATAAAACTAGTTTAAAGACAGACAGACAGACAGACAGACAGACAGACACACACACACACACACACACACACCTCTTACTAACTAAAAAAGGTAAGTCATGAGCAAAGAATACATATGACCTATAAAAGTTATTCTACTCTAAGAAATGCAGAGATACTCTCTGAAGTAAAAATGGCCAACATCCAAGTGGGATTGAAATTGATAAGGCACCCATTATTAAAAACAAATCACTGAACAAATCAACTATCTTGTGCCCTGCCCACAGAAAAGGGTACCCTGACCAGCAGGTGTGACTGTACCCATCTGCTTGGCAGGAACAATGTGATACTATGAGGAATGTGTGGGCTGTCTAATATAGCCACTGAAGCTCATTCCACTTCCAGAGTCTGCGCCTGCCATGCAGCCTTCCAAAAGCAACGGGGCTTGATTGCTTTATTTAAGGATTTATTTTATCTGTGTTACATGCGTGCGTGCGTGTGTGCGTGTGCAAGAAAGAGAGAGAGACAGAGAGAGACAAAGAGAGACAAAGACAGAGTTCAGGTGCCTGGGAAGGCCCAGAAGAGATCATCAGATCCCATGGAGCTACAGTTACCCAACATGGGCTCTGGGGTCTTTGGGAGTAGATGTGAGTACTCTTAACTGGGAAGCCATCTCTCCAGCCCTCAGTAACAGTCTTCTAAGTAATCTGTCCAGAACGGGGAGACATCAGGATTACCCACCCAGAGCATCATGTTCAACCAGCAGGTGTTCCCTTCTCCAGAAGCTGATGAGTTGGCATTCCACAGGAAGGCCTCTCATGAGTTCTGTCTGTCCATCTGTCAGCCTGGATCAGTCCCTGTGGAATGGCTGGTGGTGGTGGGGATGGCCAAAAAGTCTCCCAGAAAGAACAGAGGTGTGAATCCAGAGATGCCTTCCCATGTTAAACCTCAGGAGAACTCCCTCCAGCTTGGTAAACTTGTCTCTCAGAAACAGCAGGGATGTAAGATTGTTTTCAGAGAAGTGATCTCTCGCCCAGAAGACCCTTTGTCACCCACATCATACCAGAGGCATAAAAAAGACACCAACAGGGTTGAAGAGATGGCTTGGGAGTTAAGGGTGTGTACTGCCCTTCCATGACCCAAGTTTGGCTCCCAGTACCCACGCCAGGTGGCTCACAACATCCTTTAACCTCAGTTCCAGGGACTCTGATGCCCTCTTCTGGCCCCTAAGGGCACTGCACACACATGACATTCCACAGCACATGAAGCAGGGGAGTGTGTACCTGAGACACAGCAACTAGGAAGCAGAGGCAGGAGGGTTACAAGTTCAAGAACATCCTGGGCTACACAGCAAATCCTCATCTTAAAACCTTTCTTGCTCCAAAAAAAATGAAATAAAAGAAAGACAAAGCAGGCTTAAAAGAAATAGTAACATAAATGAGACTAAGCAGGAACAAAAGCCAAACATAAAACAGAACAAAAGTCTCAAGGATAAGGTATAAAGACTACTGTAGGACAGAAATTATTAATTTCTTAAGATTGTTAAAAACCAAGGTAGGAGGACTGGAGTACACAGAATTCAGCTGGAAATGAGTTTCACATGCAGCAATGATTGCTTGAGAAAAAAGAACACTAGGAATTTTTCAAAGTGCTCAGGAAGATGGATCTTGCCGGATGAGGTAGGCAACAATGAAGTCTAGCTACACAAGCTATTTTTCTACCCACTATCCACACCCATGAATCGATTTCTTTTTTTCTTTTTCCTCTCCTGACATCTCTGAGAGTAAACAAAGACACTTGGCGCCCACTCTCATCCCGGCTAAGACCTCCTGAACCTGTAAGAAATGCTCGCAGACTAACCGTAAGCGCCTGGATCTCCTCCTCCGCTTCTGCGGTCGTCTCCTCCAGCTCCGTCTTTGCCTGGCGAAGCTGGCTCTCCAGGGCCGCCCGGGCTGCCTGCAGGGCTGTCAGCTGGGACTCGCGCTCCTGCAGGGACAGCTGCAGCTCTGTGAGCTGGCGCTTCAGCTCCAGCTTCTGCTCCTCATGCTCCAGACTGACCTGAGGAGAAGTTACATGCTCAGTGGACAGTAGAGAGAGAGACTGTGGAAATAGCAGCTTCTCAGTCTGGTCAGATAGGGCCACATGCATCTCAGAGCAACAGCACTGAGAAATACAGCAGGGTGTGCAGTGAGCTCTCCCATGGGTTCTGCCTCCATGGATTCATTCAACCACAGATTAATAATATTCAGAGAGAGACTGCATCTGTACCGAACATGCCTGAACACATAACACATACAGAATTGTCATCTTCCCCTAAACAGGGCAATGTGGCTCCCCGACCACTCCCCCACCCCCACAGATAGGGTTTCTCGGTGTAGCTGTGCTGTTCTGAAACTCACTCTGTACATCAGACTGTCCTTGAACTCAGAGATCTACCTGCCTCTGCCTCCCAAGTGCTTGGGATTAAAGGCGTGCACCACCACCACCCAGCCAGTGTAGCTTCTTGGAGATCAACTGCATAGCAATGGTGTGTTGTGTGACTCGAAGCACATGTGAGATGTGTGTAAGTCATAAGCAAATGCTTCCCTATCTTCCAATGCATTGAGCAGCTACAGAGTTGGGTATCACTGAGGGGAGTCCTAGAGTCATGTCCTAGTGACCATCCCTAACTCATGGACACTCAAATGCTTAGGAAGGCTTCCAAAGAAAGACAGGATGGTGGGAGTCTCGGGTGAGAAAAACATTTAAAGGTAAGTGGATATAAATAACTCCTATTAGTAACAAAGATATCTTTATAATTAGAATACAACTACCACAAGGGGCTGGATTCTACTTCTCCTAAATATTCTCATGCTGATTTGTTCCCATTAGATAGCCTGTATGAATGTCTCATTCTGAGGTAAGCACTTCTCTCTGTCTGCCCAACCATCTACCCATCTACTCAATGTCCTAGACACTCATTTTAGAAAAATGTGACGAACTGTTTCTGTGTCGAGGAGGACTTGAAGAGGAAAGACAGCCTCTACCTTCACGTTGAGGAGAGAGATGAAGTCAGCCACCCTCATTCTGTAGTCGTGTGGAATAGCTGGGACAAGGAAAGATGCTGTGGAAACAGCAGAGCAATGGGAGCTGACTCTGGCATGCTGAAATTCTGCTAAGATTTATAAGAATGGGGCTAGGAGTGGAGAGGGCCGGAGGAGCAAATGGCTCAGCAGTGAAGAGCACTTGCTGTCCTCACAGAAGACCAAGCTCACTCCCCAGCACCCACATCAGGCAGCTCACAAGCACCTGTCATTCCAGTTCCCTGTGATCTGACATCCTCCACAGACTGATTCAAAGAGCAACAAGCTTCCAGGGACACCGATGAGCTACCTAGGGCAGAGCAGCTTCAGTGAGGTGGACCTTATACAGAAAGGCAAAGCAAGTGACTAGCTCCAGGAGATCTGATGCCTTCTTCTGGCCTCTGCAGACACTGCAAATGCAGGACACACATAAACGTAAAGAAAAATAAATTGTAAAACAATAATAACAATTTACAGGAGTCAAATCAGATGGGGAAGGGCTGGAGACCTATAAAACAGGGTTTTGCTTGAGCCTAGCATGCACAAGGCCCTGGCCAAGCTCGACTGAGATTTTTTCAGACAGGGAAAGCAAGTCGTCTAAGAGGTATGGAAGTAATTAGAGCACAACATGTGTATTGGCCTAACCAGCATGGACAAATTCATCCCAGGACCATGCCAAACCAGTAAGCTATGCTTGCTGTAATCATAGGGGCTGACAACTCAGCACACCCACTAAGGGATACAGGGGACATATCCAGCAGAGAAGGCACCCAGAAAAGGTGACATCCGAGTCCCAGGTCACCAGAATAAAGAGAAGGAAGAACTGCAAAAGATGTAACAAGGCTGTGGCTAATTTGCATGGGACAGGGAACAAAGGGCAGAGGAGAGCTGAGTTATCTGTGGTGTTTCCAAATGGGTGCCTTCCAGAGAGTGCTACCAGTGACTCCAGCCCAGAAGAGGGAGAGAGCTGGGGGGAGGAGGGGTAATATAATGTATTAACACTGAACTTCACCCTCATGGGAGACCCAAGTGCAGAGGTCTAAAGTCTTCTACAACAATGCCTCAGAAACTCAAGAGGAGAGTGTGGTTGCCAATCTAGATCTGTCAGTCCTTCCTTAACACGTTGGCGAGAGCTGAAGCCAAGGCCAAGATCCTCAAGTGACAAAGATGATGTGACCACAGAAACAGTACTTACAAGACACCAGGCACTAGAGTTGCTCCAGGCAGTTCCCCAATGACCTGATGGGGGAGGTGTTACCATTACCTCCAATCTACAGATAGGCAAAACTGTGTAGCACTCAGAGATCAGGCAATTATGTAAATGTTACACAGCTTTTAAAAAAAAATTAAAAAATTAAAAAAAAAATAAAAATAAAAAGATGGTAGGGCTGGCGCTCGAACCCAGGAAGTATGGTGGGAGTTCATGTTTGCAAACACGACATCTTACTGTTTGTCTCATTAAAATGCCAGCTGTCAGTGCAGGCTGGGACTCTACCATCGAGCCTGAAAATTCCACAGATGTCCTTTGGCAAAACCATGAGACACGGTGACAGTCAGTCAAGGGGAATCAGGTAGTCAAATGCTGGGAACTTCAAGCAGAGCCCGGAAGTCCCAATGGTGACATAGAAGGGAGCCACACCACTGCACACTGGCACTGAGGAGAAAACTCAGGTCCCTTTAAGGTGAAGACGACTTGAGGTGGAGGCCTCTGCCCTGAATCTCATACCAGCATGTTGCCCAGAGAAGATGGACTGGCCTTGTTTTATTTAGAGCTAAACTCCAAAACTCCCAGGGAGAATGAGAGCCCTGAGCCTCTTACAAAACCTACCGTCCTGCGGGTGGGGGAAGCAGTGAGCTGTTCACGAAATACCAAGTTTCCCCAGGGACACTGGTTTCCCAGATGAGTTACTGCACTCTCAGGCTCAGGAAGACAGACCACATGGAAAGGAGAGATGAAAGACAGTTGACTCGCCCAGGCTGAAGGTGTCTGTCTGTCTGTCTGTCTGTCTGTCTGTCTGTCTGTCTGTCTGTCTGTGTTGTCTACACCGACACCCTTAAGGCTGACTCTCCTGGGAAAAGTGAAAGTGTAGCCCAGACAGTTCAAGTGAGACCAATCAATCCCCTGATCCAATCACACAGAGTGCCTGTTACATGCCCCTCCCAATTCTACTTTTAAAAACGATAAACTAGGCTTAGTGGCTCACAACTATGGCTCACTTGGGAGGCTGGGACAGGTGGCCACTGTCTCAAAGAACCTGCAATAAAAAGCTGCTGTAGATGACACCAAAGAGTGCACCATAAGGCTCTGGATGATGCTAGTGGAGGGACCAGTACCTTGACAGGCCCTGAAAATGGGATTATGTTCTGTCTTTGGAGCCTGGTTAAAACAGACACTTGTGGAGCCCTGAGTATTCCTTCTCCACGATTTAGTCCTCCAATGCTCAGCAGTCTTTTCCTTAGGAAAGATAATCTACTCTTTGACAGATGCCATCGGAAATATCTGAGCACCTACTATGCATGTGACACTAGCCTCACTCCTGGCCCAGGTGTCTGACTTTAAAGAACAGCTTTCCAGTCCTGTTTATTTGGGACCAGCTCGATATATTCCCCCCAACATCGCCCCAAGGTCAGGAACACTCATCTGATATTACCACTGTATACCTGACTACTAGCTGACACACAATAGGTATTTAATAAATACACAATGGATACCTGCATCTAACTTCCTGGTTTAATGAAATTCAGCATTATTCCCAACCAGACTTGCTATATTCTCCTCTGAAGAGCATGGCTTCTTCCTAGTTTTCCTCCACCAAGCAAAGCTTAACCTGCTTGTCTTTTAATCTCCTGTCATTATGAGACAGACCTCTGCCTCAGTCATAGGCCCATGGCCAGGCCATGCATGTACTGCACATCTCGTGGCCCTCCTCAAATCCCACAGAAGGCGGAAACTGCTCAGTCATGGTTGGACAGATGCTTCAACCTCCACGACCCCTGCAAAGCCCTAAAAGGGAGAAACATCACCACTAACACCTCAGAGATAAGGAGCCTGAAGCACGAACATATTTTCTATAAGCAGAAAACTAGGGGGCTGGCAAGAGGGCTCAACCGGTTAAAGTGCTTGCTGCCACACTTGAGCAACCTGAGTTTGATCTCCAGAGCCTACATGGTAAAAGAAGAGACCCAAACTCCTGAAAGCTGTCCTCTGACTGCCACAGGCTTGCTGTGCACACATATGAAATCCTGTTTTCTAAACTGGTGAGAAATAAAGGTGAATTCAAACCTGAAACCATATGGGCCACTCTATACTCTTAGTCACCATGTGCAAGGCCCTCCAGTGTGTATTGATTTATGCTTGGAAGCTGGCTGGCTGGGGGACTGGATTCCTCCAGCAAAACCTGTCCAGGGACCACTCTTCATCCTCACCTCCCTCAGCCTTGTCTCTAGCTCCAGCAGCCGGTTCTTGTCACTGTGATCTTGATGGCTGATCTTCTCCAGTTGCTCTTCCAGCTTTCGGTTCTGGGCCTCCAGTTTGCCAGCCTGTGTCTCCAGGTAAAATTTCTGCTGCCTGAGTTCTGAAATCATCTCTTCCTGGGCCTTCCTGGTGTGGGGGGGAGGGAGGAGGAGGGGTCCAAACAGAATCAACAGAGGTAAACATGTCTCCTTGGTACGGCAGGCAGAAAGGGAGTGAGGGATGCATCTTCAGTAAGGAAACTGTAAGCATACCAGGGTTATCGCCCCTCCTAATCTAGCCTCCTAGGTGTGGGCATAGCATGAGGAACCAGGACCCTGTAGTCATCAGTGCTCTGAGTTCTTTGTCTACTGAATTAAGTATGGTCAGGCACCAGATGCTAACATTTCAATCCTTTGGTAGACTTTTTCTGTTTTTTTTTTTTTTTTTCCTTTTAGAGCTTATGTACAGAGTAAAAAGAGGCCTCCTTTGAGTAGAAGTGTCCTCCTGAGAGCTCACAACACAGGAAAAGGAGCCCTGCTCCTTCTAGAACTCTGGGATGCTTCCTCACCTTCCTGCCAACCGCAACAAGTTTCAAAACCGAGAACATAAGACCAGAGAGCAGGTTACCCAACTGGTTCACAGTAAGATGGGGATATTCCAAATATCTCTGAAGGGATGGATGAGCCTGAAGGAGAACATGTCTAGAGATTTAATGTCAAGCAGGGGGACTGTGATCAGAGGACTTATGAACTTGGCCGACCCGTGCTGACCCCCAAGGCCTAGCTCCCTACAGCAGGATATGTGGCTGACCTGGGTATACAGGAGGTTACCTCCTGCTGACTAACTGCAGGTCAGGATGGGGACAGGGACAGCAACCGTCCAGAACCAAACTATAACCAGCCTGTTAGCTGCTGGAAAGCATTCTGTGATCTGTTAGAAATTTGAGGTACTTAACAACACCTGACTCCTGCCAGGTAGTGGTGGTGCACGCCTTTAATCCCAGCACTAGGGAGGCAGAGGCGGGAGGATCTCTGTGAGTTCAAGGTCCAGCCATGGCTACCCAGAGCAGGGGGGCGGGGGGAGATACCGTGCAGGAGTGAGACCATTCAAAGGAGAGCAAAACACAAGTGTGCATTTGCACAGAAAGGCTGAGTTGATGCGCATTTGTGACTAAACCTGTGGTGGTTCCATCAGACAAAAGGACAGGCTTCCTGTGCCAGGAGTGAAGGCGAGTGCAGTAAATACACTTACATGTTCCTCTGGGTGAAGAGACTGCTGTTTGCCGCAAGCTTATTGGCCTCAGAGAGTTCCACAATCCTCTGCTCCAGGGATCTGATCTTGGAATCCATAGCGTTGATCATCTGAAACACAGGAGACCTTCAGCATCTCACACATGGACAGTCACATCCGAGAAGGGTGAAGGTGGGCTGTGGGAGCCAAACTGAAAGTGTCCTTACAAATGTCCACAGGTTGATTGGCCAGAGGTAGTGACAGACTCCTCTAGGTTGTACCCTGAAGGTCACAAGTGTCATTGCTCAATGGATGGTGCTCATCAATGGATGAACTGATGACTGTGGGTGGGATTCAGATGTTTTTCCAGATGAAACTAATGTCTCCACACTAAGTGGCTTGTATCAAAACCACACACCAGGGCCTATCTGGAAAGCTGCTATCCTGCATAGAAGCAGGCCTCTTTACATCCCAGTGTCATTTGTATACAGCCTGGGCCTTTAGGAGCTTCTAACCTGAACATGTAACTACATAAACATTATAACGTATTTCTCTACATTAGCATTTTCTCATCTTAGTTGAGGGTGGGGGCGGGTTAAAATATAACTTGGACAGGACCCTTTAGAGATTAGGGGAGGAGGGCAGACCCAGGGTCCTTATGCATGCCAGGCAAGTGTGTGAGCTTGAGCTACATCCCTAGTCCTTCCCTTAGGGATCCTGGGATGGAAAGCCCCCATGAGTGTCTGGGATAATATGGATTCACATGCATCACAGACCAGTCCCGGGCCCAGCAAGTTTGAAGGGAGAGAAATAAACAAATTTAAGAGAGAGAGAGATGTGGGAGACCGAAGGTCACTGGGTGCTGTCCAGAGGCCCTCGGAGGGACCACTCTGCAGTCAGTCAGTCATTAAAGAACATAAATCCGGCCACTGTTCCTTGGGGACAGGAAGCTGATTTTGACAAAGCTCCCTAGCACCCAACAACCCCATATGATGCCACGGAGAGGACAAGTTACTGGATGAAACAGAGCGACTCTTGGCCTCGCTCAAAGACCCTTCTTGGAAAGCTGGCTTGGAGCCTTGCTACCTACCGCCTTCTGCTCGCTGAGGATTTTGCCCTTCTCATGGGCCTCTTCTTCATGTCTCTGCATCATGTTCTCCAGGCTCTCCTTGTCGGCCAGGTCTTTCTTTATCTGATTGTCCAACACCTATGGAGACATAAGATATGAATGTCCCAGGATGCTAAACGGGGGGTGGAGGGGAAGAGAGGCAGCAGAGGCCCCAGGTCTCCAGACCCTGGGTCAAAGAGAAGGTGAAACCCGAGCAGAGTCTATTTATTCACCAAGATGACATGAAGAAGTGAACATTGCCACCAACTGCCCAAAACCAGGTGGGCGTGAATGAGGAGACTGTTGTGAAACAGGGCAGCTCCAGAGACCAGAGAGCCATGACCAAATGAAGCTGTCTGCAGGACGAGTGGGAAGAGAGATCACTCAGCACCCTAGTCCGGGAGAGGGAAGCGCATAGCAGTCGAGAACATTATCTTAGCCAATATACCAGTGGTTTTCAGAACATGCCTTGCTCCTAATTTGAACAAAATGAATTCTGGGCGCTCCCGAGCCGTGCATCGCACAAGGACAGGAGCTAAAGGACCAGAGAGTCTGGGTGACTGGGGCTGATGCTCTGACACAGCCGGGGACAGGAGGGTGTTGTGGGCGGGAAAGATAATATAAAAGATGGGGGGGGGGGGGTGTCTGTTTTCCTCTGATGTAACCGGGATTAAAAGTCCATGGGGAGGAAGAAAAAAAAAAGACACTATTCTCAGGAAGACAGAAATCCTGTGTTCTCGGGGCTCGGGCTGCTATTGTGAGCACCTATTCCCAAAGAGGAAAAAATAAAACAGTAACGGTGTCACCAATCCACCAGCTTGATCTAATGCTCTGCAAGGCACTTGGCCCTCCTAATCACCAAAACCCTGAGGGTCATGGAGGGAAGAAGATACTGAACTCTCCGAGCCTTTGACCAAGTAAGAGCCTATTCTCCTCACCACAAAGAGTTCACTTTGCTTTTGTGAACAACACCCACAGCCATCCAACATCTGACAGGAGGCTGGAAATAAAGCTGCCAGAATCGGGGTCACAGATGGGATTTGAAATATGCCTTCCCCATAATGTCTATTGTGAAGGGCCCTCTAACAGCTTCTAGGTCCACTGCTCCTAGAAGAGAGCCAGTCAGCAGGGAAGGGGTCCACACGGCAAAGGAAAGAACAAGTATCAAAGAGGGCTTTAAACTAGAATTCACTGATGAGGAAAAAAAACTAGAATGAAAGTTGGTGGAGAAGACCGGAAAGTGGCGAGCAGGGTCATGAGGGATGGGAACACTCAGTGGGACAAAAAAGTGACCGTTCTGTTGGATGTCTGAGGGCTATTCTAAAATTATGAACAAGAGCACAGTGGATCCAGGGTATGATCAGAGCTACGACCAAAATGGCCTTTCAAAAGCTGGAACACAATACAGAAGAGCTCACAAGGAACAGCGTGCCTGGATCCCAGCAGAGAAGGCAGAAGAAAACAGAGCTTTTCCGGAACACTCCCTGGATTCTATAAAATAAAGTTCTGTCTAGTTACAAGGGAACAGGACCAGACACTGTACCACAAACACAAATCCAGGCTAAGGAAGCCCCCTTCTCCGGGGTGCTAACTCAAAGGAAAACGGCTGCTTGGGATGACTGTCCTAAGTCAGATCCTGACCTTGACAGCGATGAGTCCTGAAGTGACTTGCATGTGGACCAGAAGGAACAAGCCTCCATCCAGAACGAAAGCATCTCGGCTTTGACAGGGTTCCATTGGCAGGAAGACGATCATAATGATGGTGAGAGAGATGTAAGACAGACATGGCTTTTGATGGGCACTTCAGTATCATCATTTAAAGTACACAGTGGATTCCACAAAGGGGTTACTGTCATCACGCAGGAGTGCTGGGAGACTACTGTATATAGTCTCATTCTCAACATTTAAGTCTAGAAACCACTACAAATTCTAAACTAAGCAGTTGCATTTGAGGCCACATCTGGACATTTTCCTATAGTCCTCTAATAAAAGTTACTGAAAACTGCCACAGGTAAGAGACAGTGGCAGGGTGGTGACGGCAGCGGTGTAGCTGGGTGAGGACATCCATGTTGGACTGGCCACGAGAAGACATCTTAATACTGAGGGTGCAAAGAAACCTAGGACAGGATCATCACAGACACCGACAGCCTCTTGCAATGTCTGGGCAAAGAAGAGGTCACGTATGATATAATGACCAAAGTCATGTGACCTAAGCTCAGTTCTCAGGGGGTAGTGGTGATGACAAGAGAATTAAAACATTTCAGACCAAAAGCTAAGGAAAATCAGACTAAGAAAAAAGTGATGAAAACAAAGTTGTTTATAACTGAAGCCATTTGCCGAACCAAGTGAACTGAAGGCTGTCTCCATAGCCTCGAGCGGGAAAGAAGATTCCTGCTCAAAGTTCCCCTTAGTGATTCGTCAAAGAAAACAGGCAGCAGACAGACACACCAAAGGGAACAGACAGCATAAGAGAGAGAAAGAGAGGGGTGAAAAGCCAAGCTTCAAAACACCAGTCATCAGCTAGACATGCCTACTTTGGTTCAAGGTATGAAAGACAGACTGGAGAATAAATATATAGGGTCAAAAATTATCTTCCATAATCTAGTAAACTTGGGAACAAAGCAAATAGAATATCTGCCTAGAAATCAAGCGTATTCCTGGAGTTAAAACCTCAACAGACTGGTTTGTCAGCAGTTTAGACACAGTTAAGAGAGGGTTAGCAAAGTGGAGAGCAAGGCAGCAGAAGTTACCTAGGATACAGCACAGGGAAAAGGAGAAACGGAAAACATGGAAGAGGGTGGGTGGAGCCCGGAAGATCTAGCCCATGCCTGTCTAAATTCTCAAAATGGCAGCAAAGACAAAAGATGGCAAAGTAATACCTGAAATACATTGAACCTGGGTTTTGAGTAAAAATGTGCCAATCCATTCAAATTTTCAAACGGGATAAACTAAAAGAGCTCAACATCCCAACGACTCACAGCAAGACTTCAGAAAAATTAAAGGCAGAGGGAAACACACACAAGCTTGGGTTCATTTTCAAGGAGGTAACAGTAAGATTGACAGATGACTTCAAAATAAAAGCCAAACAGCAGTGAGGTTGGGCAGCCACAGAGCACGGTAGCAGCCAGTGGAGAATACGGCACCCCTAAGAATGAGGCTGGCATGTGTACACAGGCAGCACAAATGGAACTAGGGAAGTGGCTGGAGACAGTACAAAGGAGTTGGGGGAAAGTATGGGTGAAAATGATCAAAATGCATTGCATTATTATATGCAAGTATCAAATTTTCAGATAATTAAAAAGTATTTTTCTTAAAAAGCAAGAATGGGATGGACATCATTACATACAAAAAATACACTAATTTAAAACACGCATTAAAAATTATATAACACAAAAGTGGAAGGGGTAATGTTTCAGAGGTGGAAGCAAACCAACATGGGCAGCAGGGAAGACACAAGAGAGGGTAATGGAACAGATGTGGAAAAAGTAAACAATAGACATATAAAAAATGTCTATTTTTTTACCATAATCTATGCCATTTCTAAAATGTGAAGTTAAGGAGCTAGAGTGCTGGCTGTTCTCTGTGGAGGACCTGAGTTTGATTCCCAACACCCATGTCAGGTGACTCATAACCACCTGTAACTCCAGCTCCAGAAAAAAAAAATCCAACACCCTCTTCTGGCTCCTCAGGTACTATACCCACCCACACACACACACACACACACACACACACACCCCTACAATATTAAAAAAAAAAAAAATTTTCAGAACAACACTAGATCTTCACAAAATTAATTTCTCAAGGATGTACTTTTTTTTTGGTTTTTTGAGACGGGGGTTTCTCTGGAGCTTTGGAGGCTGTTCTGGAACTAGCTCTTGTAGATCAGGCTGGTCTTGAACTCACAGAGATCCACCTGCCTCTGCCTCCCGAGTGCTGGGACTAAAGGCGTGCGCCACCACCGCCCAGCAAGGATGTACTTTAAACCAAAGGAAAAGGTACTGAATGAAGTCAGAGATACAGAAAGAAAACTGAAAGCAAAAAATATGTGGGTATGTGACCAAATCTAAATAATCGCACCCCAAATCATGGTGGGTTAAAAATGAATAAAAGAAGATGGAACCACAATATGGAACAAAGACTATTTTAAGCTCCAGACATGAAATTCTGGCATCATGCAGTAAGGACACTATTTACCCTAAACCACCCTTTGCTCTAGCAAGCAGTGAGCCCAAGTGTCCCAGGATGCAGGGAAGCCACACACATGCAATGGAAGGCTGTAGACAAGAGTGACAGGGTGGCTTTACTTTAATCTTTTCCTCGTAGTGCTGCTCTTTCTGTTTCAAGTGTACTTCTAGGTGTTGCGCTGAGACCTGAGCCTCCCGGTGTTTCTCCTCCAGTTCCTGGACACAAAAGAACAGTCAGTCAGGCGTGCTTGGGGAAGGGCGCCAATGCACATGAGACACAGGAAACACAACCACCACGCCACAGGCACCGCAGGTGACAGCCAGCCACTGCTCTTCCAATACTAGACTAAGGCTCTTGGGAAGGAAACCGCCACCATGTGGCCCTGGCTCTCCCAAGTCCAAGCAGACACAGACACAGACACACACAGACACACACAGACACACACACACACACACACACACACACACACACACCCGTACACACAGCTGGTGGGCTGTGAGAGCAGATCGGTTGCTGTGACAGGTCAGACAGGGGCAGCGGCTCCACTTTACAGAGAAATAAAGGTAACAAGGCAACATTTGAGAGAGCTCAGCATGGCACAGAGATCCTGACCACTGTCTTGAGCCTCGGGCTGTTTTCAATTGTTAATATTCATCAGCCTTAAATAAGAAAAAGGATTTTAATTTATTATGAAGATAAGCAATACTATGGGTCTTCCTCATTCATAAAGGCATTGCTCAAGAACCCTCGCTAAAAAGGAAAGCTAACGTTACAATTAGCGTAAGTATAAAAATAACCGTGGCATTTTGAGTGATTATTGTAAATGACTGGCATGTGGAGAGTGTGAACGTTGGAGATGGACACGTGATACAATGTTGATGAGAAGCAGCGCTAACAGGACTGGAGATGAACACGGAACCCAGGCAGTGACAATGAAAATGCATGTGTACACACAGGTGAGAAGAGAAGCTGGAATCACACAGACAGCTCAAGTTGAAGGCTCTCTTGCTTCTCTTATTGCTTTTTCTGCCTTTAAGCAAAATTGTGATCCGTTTGAAAATTACACCAACTCATTTGTCTGTGGTTTTAAACCGATCTTTTAGGAAACACAGCATCCAATTCACTAAAAGACACACTAAATGCAGACACGGTTGCATCTGAACCAGGAGTCTGGACCCCTTAGTTAATTACTGACATCAGAAGTCATTACTCCCAAGTTCTCTTCTCTTTATATTACTGTTGAATTTTCTTCTGTGGAGTGGAAACAATGGATAGAGAACTTTGAAGAATGAAGAAGTTATATGGGATATGTCCACAAGACGGAAGGTGGGGGAATACTTTTGACAATCACATACATACAACAACCCGCAAGTCTGCTGATACAGGCTTTTGCCTGGAGGGCCATTGAAATGTTTGGTCTCAAGACCAGGTGCACAAAACCTGCTGCAGTCTACCAGATGTGCTCACCGGAAGCTGAATGTAAACAGGAATCTAACTAATAAAGACATTTCATGGGCTTTGTTCACTAAAGGACTGCAGGCCTCTGACTAAAACAGAGGCAGGCCCGTAATGAGGCCCCAATTGCCCTTTCTGAAACTTCTGGAATGGCAAGCATTTTAAAGCAAGGACATTTGGTGACCTGCTTGCCAGCATCATCACTCTATGGTGGTTTGAGGAACCGTTCTTGGCCCATGACCCATATACTCTGCAGCCTGAGCACAGGGTTCTTGAGCAAGAGGCACGTTCTGTGAAAACGAAGGCACAGACAGCCACACACAAAGGCACTTGGGGAGGTGACAAGATACATTCAGGATAAAGATTTGACTGCTTGGTTACAAGTCCCTTGGTGATCATCTTTTCTCAGGTTCAGTCCTCATAAGATGGCACAGAAATGGGGATGGAAATCTAAAGATAGGTTAAAATAAAAACCCACCACTCAGACAGCTGAGACTGACGACTACATTTACAATCCAGAATCCGACTAATGCCTCACTACTTGGTGGTTTTGCTTTTTTTTGTTGTTGTTGTCATTTTTTAAAACATATCTTTTACTATATGCATCAGAGTAACTCTTCCTTATGTCACGCAGTTACTGGTGTTCACTGCTATGTTTCCAGCTCCTGGAACAGTGCCTGGCACATAGTAGAAGCTCATTAAATATTTGTTGAATGAATGAATGAACACATCACCTTTAAATAGAGAAACACTCTGGAACCACAAGAGTTAAGCCCTTCATTGATATTGCTCGTTAGTCGGGTAAGGGGCAACAGTGGCAGGATCTACCCTTATTTACAGTAAAATTCACATGCTTGACAAGAGCCCAGAGAGATTCTGATGACAGAACAAGAGATCAGAAGAGTGGACAACCACATTTGTCTTGTGTGCAGACACACACACATACATACAGAAATATAAAGACTACAAGGCAAAGCAAAACACTTTAACCCAATTCCTCTTCTATCTATTTGCTCAAAAACACCCTTACATTGTGGGAATACCCAGAGAAATCGATCAGTTGTTGCTGAAGAGTTTGGTATTAAGTGCTATGCAAACCTGTAAGTCAACCATTCTTGAGTTCATATAGCTGCAGGCACCTCATTCCCCAGAAGTGACAAAAAGAAAGATGAAGTGGCCTATTCCCTCCCCACACCCACCTCCTTCTAGGGGACAAAAGGGGGATTGGCCATGAATCCCAAGCCATCCCTGAGCTTCTTAAATATGACATCAAACTTCTGGCTTTGAGAGCGAGACTGGAAGGTGCTGCCTCCCACCCCACCCTCCTGACCCAGCCCAGGAGGGGCATCATTGCATCTACGGTCTCAGTCACCCCAGCGCACATTCTCTGATTAAGTTAATTTGGTCATCAGTGCTGAAGACAGAATCCCAATTATGACAAGCCTAAAAAAAGATGCTCAGCGGAGGGAGGCAATGGGGTAAAGTACTAATAAGAGCCAACCCAGCAGAGACTGTGAGTGGGTGAACAGCGAACTGAGGCAGATACTACTCTTAGGAAAACAACCCATGTAACTCACTTCTTTTGTTTCTCAAACCAAGAATCTGGGCTTTGGCCTTACAAGTCTAAAACCCCAATAGGTTTTTACACTGGTTTTGCCACATTAATGGCCAAACAAAACTCTGCTAAGAGGACATCAGGAAAAAAAAAAAAGATAAATGCGCAATTTCATTCTTTAAAATGCCAGGCGAGAGCAAATACTGGAATGTCCAGTATCAGCTCATCCGTGCTACTCTCCTTGTGGTCTCTCCATTTACCTATTTGATGACACCTCCCCTGGGACGGCCTGTGAGTCTTCTTGCCCCCTTCCCTTTGAGACCTCTGACCTCTCATCTTTGAACTTTGCAGCTTTCGTTCCTGCTCACCAGAATTTTATCAGCCATCTGCTGGATCTGTTGGGACTTTGTCTGGATGTCATCCTTCAGTCTGTTTTCTCTACGCTCCATGGTCTCTAGTCTCTTTACCTTGTTCTCCAGAGAATGGCGGCGTTCCTGTAGGTCGTGAATCAATCAGAGAGTTTTAATGGAGCAACTGCTGTGGGCATACCACCTGCACCGAGGGAAAGAGCCCTCGAGAGGCAGACACTCTCGAGTTGGAAAGAAAAAACTCTCAGGCACCTGAAGCAACGGTGAAGACGACAATTCTAGAATTCGGGTGCTCGGCTGTGTGGATTACAAGAGTGCATTCATTCATTCAAATATTTACCAAGCACCTACTATCTGCGAAGTACCACACTAGGCATCATGGGAAAGACAGAAAGGGAGATGATGTCACTCTGCCCTCAGAAAAGATAAGACAAACAACAAATACAACATGGGTTAAGGGGAACGGGGTCAGGGGAGAACCACAAAGACAACAGGCACAAAGTACTGTGGGGACTGATGGGCAGGAAGGAGGACGTTTAGACATACAAACTGAGGTGTGAGGTGAAGAGGCATGAGCTCTGGAGAGAGACGACACAAGGTAGCTTGGAGTGAGGAGGGCAGGAGAGGATGGGGACGAGGGAGCGGGCCACTGACACACACAACCATCTTATGCATAAGAGAAAGTTCAGGGGAAACACAGAGGTGGTCAAAAGGCAATGGGAGCTCCAAGGCAAGCCCAGACTGACCACTGTATGAACATGAGCGAGTCAGAGCAAGAGCAAGTGAAAAGGAGCCAGCATTTGTGGGTCAAATGGCTGTTGTTCCATAGGGCTCAGGTGCACCCAGCCTCAAGGGTGCACCTAAGATATACAGAGACCCTCAAAGACTGGGGATGGGGAAGAAACTTGGGGGCCCACAAATATTATCCTATGTGAGTTAGGTGGGGAAAAGGAAAGATTGGAAGCTGGAGATCAGAAAACCACTTCATCCGCTTAACTAACAGGAAAGGGGTCTGGACCATGAGGAAGGCTACAGAGAGGGCAAAGAGGAGGGTAAGCTTTGTACTTGTAGGACTCGGTAATGCAGATGATGCCAAGGTTTCAAGGCTAGGACAACCAGGAGAATGCTGGTGACCCCAACTGGCATGAAGAAACTAAAAATAGAAAGTCAGTTTTTGGAAACAGTACTGGGGTCACTCTAAACTTGAGGGACTGTTCACACACACACTTGGGATTTCAGGACAACAGTGGGAAACAGCCAGGAATGAGGGTGAGGACAGACCCCAGATAGCCATGTACAGGCAGAGTCACATGCAGGTGGTGGGGAAGTGAAAAGACCCAGGGTCAGACAGGACGGTGAAATCAATTACGTTACAATCAAACTCTGTAAGACAAACACTGAGGGAGGGCACCGGAGAGGCAGAGACAGGTAAAGGAGTCTCACTGTGTACTCTATTTGTCTGCACTGTTTACGTTTTTCAGTGAAAAGCCACTTGTATTTTCAGTATAAATAGTTATATGATTTCAACAACAACAACAACAAAGAACCTGATGGGGAAAGGGCCCAAAACACAGGCCTGGAGTCACTGACAAGGGTAGCTGGCAAAGCTGTGGAGAACAACCTGTTAGATCACATTGTGTTAGAAACAGCAAACCACGGGGAAGAAAAAGAAAACCTCAGAGCAGCAGCTAGTGAGCCTAGATAAAATAGAACCCAGATCAGTCCAGAGGCCAGAGGAGAAGCAGGAAGGAAAACGTCCTGTCCAAGCGTCACTCGCCTCAGAGCTGCTGAGACACACGTGGAAGGGATCTTCAGAAAGGAAGAAGTTTGGTCAAACATGAGCAGGTGATTTTTACAGTTTCTTTGCCTCAGCACAACCAGGGGTCAGCCAGGGTCAGAGCACCACTTACTGAGGACAGGGCCCTGCTCACCTCGGCTTCGACCAGCTTCTTTTTGATGCCTTCAGAAGAATCTTCTCTATTGTGCAGCTTTTCCAGCTCCCTTTCGGCTCGCTCCTTTGCCTGGCGGATGTTCTGCAGGAGCTCAGTGGCCTCTGTGCTGGCCTTTACAGCCTGGCAAGAGAAAAGGGGACAAGACATAGATGTCTACATGTATTTGTGGAGGGGGTAGGGTGAAGAAAACAAAAATAGAAAAAGTTGGTGACGCTGAGCACATCAGATCCACTCTTCAAAACACAAGCATTCATTTATTGCATATTTTGTATGCATTAGGTACACTGTTTTTTTAATGGCACTGAATTTGGAACACATTCCATAGTTACAATTGATGCACTTCTCTTTCTTGGGGTGACTGGAATCTTTCGTGTCTCCAATTCAATGCAACACACAGAACCAAACAAAAAGAAGCCCAGAATTAATCTAGTTCCTTCTGACTAAGCTGCCTGTAGGAAACGTGTAAACAATTACAACAGGAAAATAAGGTCAAACGCTAGCTGAGTCATGACCTTTCAAAGACTGTAATAGTCTCAGGTCTGTGATAATCGACAGGGTAAAAAGAGAAGGCTAAGCTTCTTAATTTTGTCATTTACTAACTTTTATTTTGATCTAACCTGCACTACAGCTTTTACAGCACTGTGGATGACATCTGAATTTGGGAGAAAAATTAAAATGCAAATGTATGGGATATATAGTTTACATTTTATTTACATGAATATAGGATGCATATATTTATGCATGGCTACCACAGCATGTTTGTAAAGAAGTAAAACCTGTCCTTATTAAACCAACCAGCAAGCATGTGCAGAGACGTATGCAGAAACCTCATCCCAAACCGAGGTCCCTCTGCCCTTCCACTGGGCATTTCTGGTGTTCACTTAGAGAAGCCATGGAATTGTGGAGAGTGGACCTTAGCAGGCCCCATCACAGAAAAGGGAGAGCTATGAAGGAGATGCTAATTAGCCTGATCACATAACTGAATACATACATTAGAACACCATTTTTTACACTACAAATATGTTTTTATTTGCTAGTTATTCCTTAATAAGCTAAAGCAGGCTCTGTCAACAAAAAGTTTTTAAAGTACAACTGAAGCAGGACCATTAGCACAAACTTTGTCAATACCCCCCACACACACACACACACACATGCACACTAACACCATGACACCAGGGAGCCACTGACAGTCCCCAGAGAAGGGATCTGTCACAGTCCTGCTAGAGAAGGACCCAGGCTTCCTCTACAAATATGCAAAATGGGAGCCTGGCCTCTCCGGAGGCACGAGAAGCCGCCTTTGTGTTTCTGTCCCAGAGTCTCACACAAGTTTGTTTTTTAAAAACAAACACTGCCGGCACATTACAAAAGGAAAGCTTAGATGTAGAATCCTGATATATGATATCTGAGCAGTACACAGGCTCTTCATCACCTTTGCTGCCAGTGACTGACAGCTTCTCTCATCTTTACTGCCCAGAGTGGGGCAGACAGGGACTTGGGAATGGGATGCCCCCTCAAGCTCCCTAGGCTGTACCTACCTTTTCCAGCTTCTCCTGGAGCTCTTGGATCTTGAGCTGCTGCTCGGCATTGATCTATAATTAAAGCCAGGAGAGAAAACAGACAGCGATCAGAGCCTGCATCTTGCTACCTGAAGCATGGTCCTATTTCCTCCAGGGTTCTGCAGAGCCTCTGGGATTTGCTTTCTAGAACTTGCTAGCATAGAACATTGGCCTGTCAGAGAAGTGTGGGTGTGTCCCAACATGAAAGAGTAGCAACATATATGAAGAGAAAGTTGCTCAGTATCTTAACACAATAAAAAAGTTACCAAGTGTCTGAGTTTATGTGTTACTGTGGTGAAGTATGATCCTCCACCCAAAAAAGAAGAAGAAAGAGACAGGAAGGAGAAGGTATTTTAGGTAGGCTTGGTGGCATGTGCCTGAAATCCCAGCACTTAGGAGATGGAGTCAGTAGGATCAGGAGTTACGTCATCCTCAACCATATAGTAAGTCTGGACTGCATGAAATTCTCTTAAAAAAAAAAAAGTGTTTTTTATCTCTTTAGAACCACAGCTAAATCTTGACATGGACATCCAGAAGCCATTAAAATGTAGGGGCATAAAGCATAGTGTAGTAGTAACAGTACAGGCTTGCATTTAATCCCTAACACCGAAAATAAATAAATAAATAAAATATGATAGATGTACCAAGTCTCTATGAAAATACTCTTAGGTGGTAAGCAATCACCGATACTATTCCAAAAACATTTGTTCCAAACAGTAAGCCCAATCACAGAAGACACACCTTCTCAAGTTTGGAATATTCTCCCACTTCAGGCTTCCCTTGGTCCTTAGCCTGTGGGTTAAAAGACACAACATTAGGGATTCAACAGCCCACATGCATCACCTGTTGTACTTCCTTGGCCTCTGTGACCAACATTACAACAAACAATAATAATGTTATCTACAAATGAAGACGGGGGTTTTCTAAAGAATCTCATTGTGTCTCCAACCTACACTCATTGAGCCAGCGTGGCCTTGCATCTTGTGAAGGTCATCCAGGTCCGTGCCCCCAAAGTCCCCTCTTGGAGGGTGGCTGACTACCTTCATCAGTTTGTGCTGACATTCGGTTGCCTTCCGCTTGAATTCCTCGGCGGCAAGCCGAGACTCTCTCAGCTCAGATTCATAGAGATCACTGCGTCTCCGGGCGGACACGAGGTCCTCTTCCAACTGACTCATCATCAGCCTCATTTCTTCCACCTGAGCCTGGTACTCCTAAAGAGCGGGCAGAGGACAGAAGATGAACCCGGGAGCGCCACAGCAAAGGGTGGGCGGTGAAGACAGATGTACATCGAAGAAAGGTGTCAAAGAACAGATGGGCAGACAGAGAAAGATGTGAGCAGAGTGATCTGGACACAGAGGCAAAGTGGAGGGGCGTTGGGAGATGGAGAAGAGGGAAAAGATATTAAATTGCTTCAATGCAGAACATGTGTGTTGAGTAACCCCACCACAAACACACGTGCTGCTGAATCAGACTCTGAGCAAATGACTACACAGATTCAGAAAACCCCCAGGGATGAGCAGACACAGGAGAGCTGTTCTCTGAGCGAAGATGAACTGCATGTATGGTTCTCTTCCAAGGGTGCTCGTTTCTATGGATTTGTCCTTCGGACGCCACGTGATCCTAACACAATTAGATATGGTACTAGCTTTGAAATTAACCTTTCAGACAGCACCAGAGGGTAATTGGAAACCTCGGAGGAAATCATCTGGGAAGGTGAAACTCATCATTGTCAGTTTCTCACCATTAATTTTTCTGGGCTCAAAACGGAAGGTTGAGCTTAGCGTCGCCCCTGCAATGCAAGTCACCCTGAAACCTGGAAGAGTCACAAAACACTGGACCGAGACTAAATAACTGGCAGGGAAGAAAAACAAACGTTTCCCCAAGAAAAATTATCTTGTTCCCTGAAGCAAAAAGCCTTAAAATGATCCAAACAGTCCGATGTTTTCCAAAATGAATCTTCTTAAAACCAAACCAGAACATTTGAATCAAGGCTTCCCACCCCCTACCCACCCACACACAAAGAGATTTACCAGAAGAAACAGGCAACAGCCTTGAAACTTAGGAGCCAACTATAGAAAGATTCTTCAGTTGCAAAATCAAGGCTAAAGTATGGTGCCCTGGCTAACATGAGCAGGATAGGAGGAGGCAGGTGGAGAAGGACAAGAAAATAAGCCAGCACTGTCTTTGGCATTCATAAACTCCAATCACATCTGCAAGGTGATGCATTGGCTGAGACAGAATGTTGGCTTCTGGGTTTCAGTTCAGCATATTGCAACTTACACTTTGGTTATTTTTTTTGTTGTTGTTGCTAAAGTTGGGCCCTACCTTTGCATGTGCTAGGTAAGTTCTTGTCCACAGAACTACAATCCCAGCCACTTGTGATAGCACTTTCTCTGTCTCCCTCTCCCCATCTTCCCCTCACCAGTGTGTGTGTGTGTCTCTGTATGTGTGTCTGTGTGTGTGTCTGTGTCTGTCTGTATGTGTGTGTGTGTGTGTCTGTATGTGTGTGACAGGCGATAAACCAAATACCAAACAGTATGTCAGCTGAGAGCCATGAGTGCTATATGGGCAGAGGTGTTATCTCTTTGCTGGTGCTGTGTGTCTGTGTGTGTGTCTGTGTCTGTCTGTATGTGTGTGTCTGTGTGTGTGTCTGTCTGTATGTGTGTGTCTGTGTGTGTGTGTGTGTGTGTGTGTGTGTATGTGTGTCTGTATGTGTGTGTGTCTGTGTGTCTGTCTGTATGTGTGTGTGTATCCGTGTGTGTTGTACATTATTATGGGCATGCACGTGCCACAGCATGCATGTGGAGGTCAGAAAACAATTTTCAGTCTGTCAGTTCTCTCTCCCACCACAAACTACAGTCAGCATACTTGAGTGGCAAGCATGTTTAACAACTGAGCCATCCGGCCTGGCCCAGTTTGCCCTTCTGTAATAACAGGGTGTTAGGTACCCTGTTTGAGCTCACCATAATGGATCCTCACCCAGCAGACCCTGGGGAGGTGGTATTACAAAATCTTTAGAGTTCGGGTAGCAATGCTCACCCTACAGGGAGGAGCACGGACATCACTACACTCCCTCCCACCCAGCAGTGCACTGTTACTGAAAGCCAACCTTGGGACGATGGGCACATGGGTGTCCTGTATAGGATACACAAAGCACACGATGCCAGATGACAGAACTTCAGACATCTGACCCAGGACACAGGCCATAGGTGAAATAGTATAGCCTTTACTTGGGTTTCTTTATGTCGTTCATGACTCTTGACCCTTCCATCCATCAGGAAAAAAAAAAAAGGTGTAGGGGGGGGAGCCTAGTGAAGTGACATATGTCTGTAATGCCAGTATTTAGGAGCTAGAAGCAGGAGGATCAGGAGTTCAAGGTCATCCTCAGATACAAAGCAAGTTAGAGGCCAGGTTGACTATATGGGACCCTGTCTCAGAAACACTCCCCCTTCAAAAAACATATATTCACATATGTAAATACACATATACACATAAACATACATTACATACACTCACATAGTCATATATTTTATATTACGATACATTAAGACTACACTCATAAGCATTTAAATGTTAATGTGATCTATAAAAGAAATACTTGTAACCTAACAGTTCAATTTTTTAAACTTAAATTAAGGGGAAAAATTGAGCCCGGTGTGACGGCACATGGCTGTAATCCGAGACATAGGTAGGCAAGAGGAACCAAAGTTGAAGGCCAGCCTGGGCTACATGTAAGAGAAGATTAAAATATTTGAGTATTATGTAATTATTACTCCAAATGACTTTCCCATATCTGATATGTCATTGTGCCACTTTAAAAGCACAGTGGCCCCCTGCTCCCAAGCCCGTTGTGCTGAATATTAAAGAGAACAAGGGTCAGCAGATAAGACCCTTCACAGTGAGGACAGCAAAGATCTAAGTCTCTGGCATATTTTGTCCTCAAAACTCTTCTTTAAAAAAAAAAAAAGTATGACATTTGATGTGTGTATGTGTGTGTGTGTGAGAGATGGTGTGGCCTGTGGAGGTCAGAGGACATGTGTAGGAGTGGGGGTCTCTCCTTCCATTGTGTGGGTCCCAGGGATCAAACTCAGTTCTTTGTGGTTGCAGGCAAGCACCCTTATCCACAGGGCCATCCCACCAGCCCTCAAGCTCTCTTTTCCTTCTCAAACTTGTGAAGAAAATGTAACTTTTGTGGTTTTTCCAGAGCAAGGTCAAAAGCATCCATTCCTGGCCCCCCTCCCTGACGCCTCCATTTCCTGAGCTGCCTTCAGTGGGAAGGAAAATAAGCAGCAGCAGCAGCAGCTCTTACTGCTCCTGGAGTCCTGGCCAATCTTCTGTTATGATGGAGACTCCAGGGAAATCTTATAAGGCCAACAGCTCAGCAAATCTCTGGTTTGGGAGGGAGCTGAGTGAAGACCACTGGGCCTGACTGCATGGGCTACTAAGAAAGCTGCTGTGGCTCAACCTGGGGTGATTCATAGGCACTAAGCTGGATGGGTCAGAGCAGAGAAACAGAGACAACTAACTGTCCATCTACAGCAAGTCTTTCAGGCAGAGCCTTGGGCCCAAGTGGTACTATTCCCCAGAAGTCCTGGGGCACACATGACTTCCCAGAAGAACTGTCACTGTTTTGTGGTGTTAGAGTCAGACTATAAGAAGGGCCTGCTAGGCATGCTCCAGAAGAAATAACCGGGTAAAAACATGATTAAGAACAAAAATGAGCAGGTGTACCACAAAAAAAAAAAAAAAAAAAAAAAGCGCTGACTTCTGAAAGGAAAATCTGGGGACTCATCCTAAATCCGTGAGAAGCCAGTACGCCAAAAGCTAAATACTACGTGTTTGCCATAAGCCGTAAAGCATTCTTTGTCTACAAACATCCCCCACCTACAAAAAGCACGCCTTGTTAAACATATCCTTCTTTAATGAGAAGTAAAATCCAGAACCCAAAAGTTTTCTCTGGCCCCATCGGAACTTTTGCCAGTCGTTATTAAATCTGAAACTCCACATGCACGCAAGCTGTAATATGAATCACAAAAGACATCGCTTTGAACTCAACCACCAGGCACAGAGCTTTTCAAAATGTCCTCATGGACTGATTCTATTCCTACAGAAAGCATGGACACCAGCTGCTCCCTCTGCTGGCCAAAGGCAACTTTCATTTCCCCAGGATGTCCCCAAAATTAATTCCCAAACACAATGAACTGATGGGAGATAAAGAGTCCTACCTCCTGCAGCCTTTGGGATTAAAAAGAAAAAAAAGAAAAGAAAAGCTAGGTTGAAAAGGGGGTGTGAGTCACCTGTCAAAGCAGAAGTCTCAGCATGTGTGTGCCCTTCAAAGCCTCCCAGGGGATACAGTGCAGAGACAAGATGACCCATTTGCAAAGTCCCCTATGCATATTTGTTTAGAATGTTCTTACGCAGCAGGAGGGTGTCAATCCACCATTTAAAAAATATCAAAGCCAGGCAGTGGTGGCGCACACCTTTAATCCCAGAACTTGGGAGGCGGAGGCAGGTGGATCTCTGTGAGTTTGAGACCAGCCTGGTCTACAGAGTGAGTTCCAGGACAGCCAGGGCTACAGAGAGAAACCCTCTCTCAAAAACAAAAAAAGAAAAAGAAAAAAAAAGAAAGAAAAGAAAAAAGAAAAAAAATTGAGATGACAAGGAGAGTATGCCAACAAACCTCCTAAGAAGATCCATTTATTTAAAGAATAGCTAGCGTGTTGAGCTATCTGCAGGAGTTTCTTTCACTTGAGCACCCAGATGGCCAAGTCTGCACTACCCAGAGAAGGGAACGCTCACTCCCATCAGTGGTCCCATTAGGTTTTCCTGAAGTGAATGAGAGTTGCCTGGCAGCTGATAATTCAGCTCTCCAATTACTCATTTCCATCTCTTCATTAAAGTTTCTATTTACAGTGTCTTCAGAAGACAGAAAAAAAAATCCAAGCTAAAAAGAAAACAATGAGGCAATGTAAAAATGAGCCTCCAGAGAGAAAACCTTTTAGGAAGGGGGAGGGTAGGGTAGGGGAGCTGTTTAAAGGTCTCTATTCTGGTCTCTTTTGGAAACTCGGGGGACAGGGTTTGTGTACTCAGATTTGCTGCGTTAATTCTTACTGCTCTCCATGGCCCAAACTTTTCTTCTAGGGTGTGTGTGTGTGTGTGTGTGTGTGTGTGTGTGTGTGTGTGTGTGTGTGTGTGTACACAAGCACGGCCCCCTGCAACTGTGTGTGAAACTGAAACTGAATGATCTTAGTCTCTTGACAACAGCAAGTGCATCTGAAAAGCTATAGAAATACTGAATCAGCCAGGCGTTGGTGGCGCACGCCTTTAATCCCAGCACTTGGGAAGCGAGGCAGGCGGATCTCTGTGAGTTCAAGGCCAGCCTGGTCTCCCGAGAGAGTGCCAGGATAGGCGCCTAAGCTACACAGAGAAAACCTGTCTTGGGAAAAAAAAAAAAAAAAAAAAAAAAAAAAAAAAAAAAAAACAAAACTGAATCTTTTAGGACCACCCAAAGAAGTGGTTGGTAAGCTTTTGATAAAAAGGCAGACTAAGCAGTTTTTATAGACACACACTCTGAAAACTGCTCACTTTTGCCTCTGTGGCATAAAAGCCACCATAAATGAAATAGGTTTGGCTGTGTTCCAATAAATTTTTATGCAAACTGAAATTTGAATTTTAGAAAATTACATGTCACAAATATTTTTTTCTTTTTTGTCTAATTGTTTAAAAACATAAAAGTTACTCTTAGTCTGAGAGCAACAGAAAATAGGTAGGAGGACAGATCTGATCCCTTGGCTGGTTTGCTCGCTTGTATTCGTTATTAAAAGCAGTAGGTATTAGGAGTTGGGGTCTTCAAAAGGAGTAGACCAAGCAAGCTGGTGTGATCTAGATAACCACAGAGAATCTGAAGACTCCATCCATATGACCCGCCTGCCTGTCTCATGCCCTGTATGTCCACACCCTTTATTCTGGCAACCTCTGCTTCTCAAAACACGCCTGAAGTCAGTGGTTTGCGCTGTCTGCACTGGGCTCTGAGTGAGTGGTCATACCTGCTCCTTGATCTCTTGGAGCTTCCGGCTCTGCTCTCTGATGTCATGGAGAAGCTGCAGCGCTTTGTCATCCTCCTGGGACACCTCCATCCTCGCTTGTTCCAGACTTCGCTTTAAACTCTGCGGAGAGCAAAGATTTTAATAGGGATGCCCCATGGACCCTGTTCTGGTTGAAACGGTTCATTAGGACAGCTGCAAGCTGCTTCCAAGACACCAGGATGGTTTCGGGCGACAGACCAGAGTTGACAACTCCAAGCAGTTGGTGAGTCCATTTTTCACCCTGTAAAAGCCACTTGGTGGAAGAAAGTCATCTCGAGCTCACAACCTTACGGGCCCAGCCTGAAACTTTACCAACTAATCACCTGGCGTTGTCTACCTATCCTGAGGTACTTACTTGTATGTTCAGGACTGGAAACCAGTAAGATCCTGTATCTGTTACAACCACCACCTCCATGGCTATCCAATGTATCCTAGACTATGAAAAGCTCTTCTGGGCTCTCAAGTGCATATGTCTGTCTCAAAGAAGCAACAGCTTCACCATCTATCCAGCTGTCATTTTAGAGTCCAGTTGACTATCTGACTCCTGGCTAGCCTCCTGGATGCCTATAATCCATCAGTTTCCCTCCATGCTTCAATGACACTGATAGAGACATCTGAAAGACACAGCTGAATAACATCACCCACTACTGAAAAGCAGCCAAGTCTGGAACACAAACATAACAGTTATTCTTAATCAGCCACATTCTATAGATTTCCTCTCCCTTGTTGAAAAAAAAAAAAAAACTTTATAAATTTGTGATTCAACCTCTTAAGATTGTTTAATTGGGCACATTAGAAAAACACCTGAATGAAAAATTCCACAAGACAATGGAGAAGACAGTCTACTCTGGTGAAGGAAAGGAAAAAAAAAAAAAAAATGGAGTCGTATGAGAAATAATGACAGTGGGTCTGGAACGCAAAGGCTCAATTTCCTTGGCACTACAATGCTTCTAAGGGAATAAAAAAATTGATTTCCGACAAATCCGAATTATGTTTTCTGGTACAGATTTGGGAGCTTAGTCCTCAAGGCTGATATTGACACAGACCAGAGAGGTTGGGACAGGAGATGTCGGGGCCCTCTGCAGAAGGCTTCGGTGACAGGTGACTCCCATCTGCAGGATCTGTGACGTCCAGGAGCCTGCATGGGCTTTCTACTGAAAAGCAGTTCCTTCCTAGGGGCCTCAGATCTGGCTCCTGCTACTCTGCCAGTCAGGTATCTTGCTTTTGTTCTACTCTGTCTCTCTACTCTCTGCCATTGGCTGTGATGTGCCTCATGGAGCTGTCATGAAACAGGATGAGACACACACGACAGGAAGTGCCACCTCCAAGGGAAGAGGGCTTTGGGGAAGGCTCACACTGCATTCTGTGATGTAGGTGGCAAGGTCCTGCTCCAGGAGGGATCTCTGAGTCTCAGAGGCCTTCAGTTCCACCTCCTTCTGACTAAGCACAGCCTCCACCTCTGATACTCTCCGATGTAACCGGGTCATTTCCTGCTCCATCTGAAATAAACACATGGACAGGTTAAGAGGGCCCAGGGAGGTTCCGTGGGAGCAAGCACATCTCAAGCAGGCCCCTAGGCCACCTGGTAGCCTGGGGTTGGGGGAAGGGGTTACCGCTAATTCGCCAAGAGCTGGGATGGAAATACCATTGCTTCTTCGCCCAGGAGCATACAGTTCTTCAAAAAGACAGTCACCAAACGCTAGGTCACTCCTGTCATCCAAGTCCCGCTTCGCACGATCACTTCTCTAACCCACTTAGCAAAGAAGCCACCATCATCATTTTTCTTTCACCTGTTTGCTTTGTTTGTTTGTTTGTTTGTTTGGTTTGGTTTGTCTTACACAGATGTCACTTTAATTTTATCCTAAATCCATCTTGATCCCCCCCATCTCCTTGCAAAGATCTAGAGGACAGATCCAGGACAAGGCTGAGAGATAATTATTCGTTTGCACTCTTAGGAGTCCCACACAAGCAGTGGTTTTTTATTAAGTTTTCAGAGAGTTGCCTCTGGGCAGGAGCAGTGAGTATTAAGAGACGTTGAGCATAATCAACACAGTGGCCGCAGTGATAGAGGCAGGACTTTTAAAAGACTAGGAAGAGAGACTTCGCCTCACTCCAAGCAGATGGGATGCATCTCAGCCACAGGTGAGGACCCAGGCCACCTGCCGGAAGAAGCAGACATCGGGCTGGGTCATGCTGAGACACAGGCCAAGCCGTTTTAAATCCAGGGCCTCCTCTGGTTAAGATTTAAAGGATTTACGGCAAAAGTCTAGGCCCGAATTCATCTCCCTCTGAGCTGCTGGAGGTGCGACTTCAGCGAGGGAGGCAGCACCTCGCTCTCTGATCAGGAGGCTCAGTGCCAGCAGCGGCCCCCGGCGGATCCCTTGGCATATATTGACGGGAGGATCTTGGAGCAAGGACGGAGGCCAGCTGCGGAGATAAATACCTTGTGACACTTGTCCTGAGAGTCTTGCAGCTCTTTGCTTTTGATGAGAAGTTTCTTTTCCATGGAGCTAGTCTTGGCAGGGGAGTCCAGACCCGACACAACAGACCTAAACATAAAAATAATAATTAACGAAAAAAGTCAAGTGGTATGCACTTCAGCCTGTGGGCTGTGTTTGCACACTGCAGCAGAAATGGCAGACCTGCCCGAGTTCTGCAGCAAAGCTGGCTCAAGCACCTTCTAGCTGCATCAAAACCATGGGGTGAGGAGGAAGAAGGATAGCTGTGGTGAGTAGACTTGGTGCATACTCAAGGGAACCTAGGGCCAAAACTGGCTTCTCGGAGCCTTGGTTTGCACAGCTGTCCAGTGGAATGATGAGAACAGAACCACTCACACAAGAAAGTGGGAACATTCATCACACAGCTCTGGGCCTGGCGAGGCTTCTCTCACTGATATACTCAATAGCAGGGCTCCTCCTCCTCCCAGAGCTGATGTTCCAGGAAGAGAGGACAGGATGCATGGGGAGACTCAGAAACAAAAAAGTTTACAGCTAAGAAAGACTTCCTGAGAGGAGAAGTGGGGATGTGATCTGATGGCATGATGGAATAAGTGAGGCTGGGGACCTGTTTTAGTTTAGAGAGGAACTGTGACCCTGGAGGGCTTCTTAGAGAAGGTGACGTTTGAGACCTGAAGGATGAGAAGGTTCTACAAACACAAGGATCTAGAAGGAAAGAAGTTGCTGGGACAGGGGATGGCAGCCATGCTGGCCCTGAGGCAGGACAGATGTGACTGAGTGGTTTTAGCAACAACACACTATGAAGTCCTGTCTGTTCCTCCCCCAAGCTAGCCAGTTCCACTCTGTTGTGTTTTCTGTAAACAGCTCATGCTTATGGTGGTGAGCCAAATGGCATTCTCACTCCCTTCCCAAAAGATGCTGAGGTCCAATCCCGAAGCTATGAAGACACATGTGAACACACTCAGTAACCATGATTAAGTTAATGACCTTGAAATGCAGAGATTACCCCTGGAAAGGTTCAATAGCCTCATACAAAGGTCCTCATAAGACAGATGTGGAGATATGAGGGACAGAAAGCCAAGCACAGAGACAGGGAGCGGGGCCAGAGATTTGAATATGCTACACAATGGCTTACAAGATGCAGTGATGCTGAGGAGGGGTATCTCAGTGGGCAAAGTATTCTTCTGTGCAGGGGTGAAGAACTGAGTTAGAATCGAGGCACAACGCGGGAGTGCATAGGTGTAACCCAGTATTCCACAGCAGGTCAGAGAACTGAGACAAGAAACTCCCTGAAAACTCCCAGGCCTATGGAGCAGCAAAGTAAGAGACCTATCTCAAACCAGCTAGAAAGCAAAGACCAACACCCATGGTTGTACCCCGTCCTCCACACGGGTGTCATGATACATCATGATGCATGCATGCATGCATGGACTCTAGGAGCTGGACAAGACAAGAAAGCTGACTCTCCTCAAAGCCCACAGGCAGAGAACACACCCTCATCTAGGCTGACTTCAGCCCAGAGGAACTCACCTGGGACTTCTAACACCCAGAACTATGAGACAGTAAGTGTGTGTTCTTTTACACCTCTGGGTTTGCACTGACCTGTTACGGCATCAATGTGAAACTCAACCACTCACTGAGCTCTGGTACTGACTGAACACTAGACATGTTTTAATTCTTTATTCCCCACAACTCTCTGAGGTGGACACAACTTATCATCCTGGTGTTACACAAGAGGAAAGTGAAGCCTGGTGAGATATGAGAACCCGCTGGTTGACAAATGGTTTCTGTTAGTCTCTAGGAAGTGAGTGACTGAATGGCTGGATGCACCTGATGCCATGCTCGGGAAACGTCACGAAAATCACATGACAAGCTGGGGGGGGGGTAGGAGGGGAGGGATAAGAAGGGCTGTCTCACACATATGTAGGTGTCCCAGGATTGATAATGGATGGAGATGAGAATGGTCCCTTGGTGGGGGGTTTAAACACTGGGTGAAGGACAAAGTCAAGGCCACAGCAAGCAAAGGTTCTTACACGTGGAGGGACACACAGTGCCAACTGCTGCCCCACAGTCCTGTCTTTGTTGCCTTGGTAACAGGACTGTGGAAGCTGCTTACTGATGAACACTTGGGGTCTTCCTAGCAGGTGAAAGTTCTGTTTTCTGCAGCCCCAGACTACTTCTCAGCCCCCTGCAGTAATGTGGGACACCTCTCTGCTATAGCTACCAACTTAGGGACAGGGTGGGGTGACAACTCTCTGTCCTCGATGGCAGGCATGTGAATCAACGATGAGAGTCAGGCTGCCCTGGGTACAATCTGACCCATCACATGCAAGTTGTGTGGCCTTCCTGAACCTCAGGCTCCTCATCTGTAAAATGGGGGTAATTCTCAAATCACTTCGGAGTCCTTGGACCAATTCAGTGAGATGGCACATACGTAGAGCCCTAAGCACAGCCCTGGCACACTGAGAGTTTGACAAATGTCAACCATTACTATGACTGTTGCCATTTTTATTACGATCCCTGCAAATTTGCAAATAGCACATGCCTCACAGTCCTAAAACAGTTGCTTGAAATGGTAACACTCAGGGGGCTGAATGTGCTGTGTGCTATTATTCACATCAAGACAAACAGTGATTATTCATAGAAATGGGCAACAAGGATTAAAATCCAGAAATAAGTCTTTTTTTTTTTTTTTAACTCTCACATCCGGCTAGAAATTTTAACACTCCTCACAAGCCTATATTCTAGCCAAAATACACACACGTGCACACATGTGCACACACATGCCCATACACATCCTCTTCCTGCCTTCATAGGGATTGCTTGGGGTGGCCTTGAGTTTCCCTCATTTTTGACTGGTAGGCAGAGACAAGCCCCAGGCCGCCTGAGGAGGCAGAGGTGGTCCCTGGTCCGTTAGTCATCGAGGGTCACCCACACATCACAAAAGGACACACATGAGCCACATCAGGGATGACAACACAGGCCACAGCTCTTTGCACCTGAGCACAAACTGGCACCCTTCAGAAAAACAACTGCATGGGCTCTGTGATGGTGGAGTGGGATGTGTATCACAAAACTGAATGACACATGGAGGGCGGGCTCCGGCAGAGTTTAACGGTGAACGTTCCCTGGTGTGGTTACAAAACAGACTGCTTATTCGTCAAAAAAGAAAGGAAAGGCATTTCTAGGTCACTGGTTAATAGGGCCCAGGATCCAGGAGATGAGTACTCACGGGAGACAATGCAGCCGTCACCTGAAGTCCACTCTCTCACTCTGCTGTTTTGATGCCTGACAAATGTTCACATTTGAGAGTTCTAAGTATACCAATTAAGAGCTCTTCAAAATAAATATGCTAGAGAAACCTTTTTTTTTTTTAAGAATAAATAAAAATCACATCTAAAAAAAGCTCTGGTAGGAATGCTGTGACTAAACTCAGCCCGTAGCAACAACTGCACAAACAACAAGAGTGGATGGAGGGCAAGGGTCACCGAAGCTTTGGGTGACGTCCTGTGCCTCATCCCAGATGAATTCTGACATCTCCTGGCGATGGAGTGCTTGTAGCTGAGGCTGGGGGCAGGGCCCACCCAGACCAGTTCAAACTGGGCAGGGACTGAGGCCTCAGTCTGGCAATGTCGTTTTCATTAAACTCCATCATGACTTGGAAGGATGGTCAGGAATGGAACCTGGAGTGCTAATGAGAAGAATGTGCTGTGGCTTCAAGTCAAGGCTTTCAGAGCTCCAGTACAGCCAGCCTTAGCATCTGCTACCATGTGGCACTTTGGTCAGATGAGGACAGCATGTTGTGTCGCTCTTTGAGTGGGAACTCAGTTCTGAATTTCAGGACAAGTGCAAGTGTCAGACAATGATTAAGAACAGCATTCCATACCGCCTAATATGCCCATTGCTTTACTCATGTGGCATATGTGTACACATGTGTACCATGGTACACACATGTGGAGCAGAGGACAACCTTAGGGAACTGTTGCTTTCCTTCCACTGTGTGGGTTCCAGCAATCAAACTCAAGCCACCATGTTTATGTACCCGGCTGAGTTGTTTCACTGGCCCAGTTTTGTTTCTTTAAGACAGGGTCTCACTATGCAGCCTAGGCTGGCCTCGAAGGGCAGGATTATAGGCATGTGCCATGATGCCCAACTTTGTAAATTAATTATATCATCTCCATGGGTTTCTAGGAGGAGGATAAAAAACACAGTAAAGCCAGGTATAGCTCAGAACACTTGCACGCTATTTATCTTTCATGCAACTAAGGCAATTCAATCCACAGTACCAATGACAAGCTCCAACGGAAATTGTTTAAAGGCTTTTTTAAATTTGTGTATATGAGTGTTTTGTCTAAGAGTTTATGCATACCAAGAACAAGCAGAAGCATGAAGAGGACAGAAGCAAGGGGCATCAGATCTCCTGGAACTGCAGTTAGAGGCAGTTGTAAGTACCATGTGGTTGCTGGGAACCAAACCTGGGTCCTCTGCAAAAGCAGCCAGTGCTCTTCATCATAGAACCAACTCTCCAGCCCCCCAAAATGCATTTCTTAATGCAGCAGACCCACATGCCCCAACAAACATCCTGAAACATTATCTCAATTCATTTTCTCTAGGACTGTCACCAGGCACCTTTCCGACTTCCAGAGTGGTGGGGAATGGTGATTGACGATGGCATTTCCTGGCATAGACCATAATGTGAACCTCAGCTTGAGAGGTGTCATCCAAACTCGCCTGACACAGCATTGCTGTTCAGACATCAAGTTGCCAGTCTAAGGTCTTCCCAAAATTCCAGCATGGCATTATTTAAAAGTTATATTGCTGAAGGAAAGTGTAAAAACCAAAACAAGACCACTTCTCTATAGGGTTCTTCGTCAGAATTCTGAGGCCATAGCATGTGCCTGTGGCCCAGAACTGCAGAAAGAAGTGAGGAAATCAGACACACATACAGTAAAACACAACATAAATAAAGAAATTAATTTAATTTTAAAAGAAAGCTTAATCCTCTTCTACAGCCCAGTGGCTCTTCCCCAGGATACATTTGGTGGCATTTAGAATGTTCTTTAATCTTAATCGGGGTGGTGTGGGGGAGTGGA